ATGATTGGACTGGACTACACGGATTGTCGCAGGAAGAACACATTGTACAGGAAACAACTTCGTCCTTAGATATCACTGTCGGAGTCACTGACAGTAGCAGCAGCATAACAACAAGTGCAGACAAACTGTATAACTGGTTTGTTTCCATTGTCAGAGAAACTGGATTTGGAAGCTTAGTTTGGTGTAAAAATATACAGAGGTAAAGGAGGAAAGAAGGTGAAAGAGTGGGAAAGAAGAAGAAGAAGTGTTCTTCTTTTTAATGAGGATTTTAAAGAAATTTTGCATATATAAATAAATTTTGTTTCAGCTCAGAAAAAGAAATGAATAGTGAAATTGAGGAAAAGGTGACGCGGACACGTTAACCTTTTAACCGAAGGTCTTGTTGTAATAAAGCACCGGGAAGAAATACGCGGATGTCGGGGGCAAATGCGTCATGGATTGTTGAAATTACGATAATACCCCTTGGTCCCGGCTAATTTGCGTGACCTCGTGGCGGCTGCGTCGAGGAGCAAGTAGGGTTGGGAGTAAAAGGAGAATCTTCGGCAAAAGAAAAAAAAAATATAATGTCGACGAGGTCATTATAGTGGGGCTTGACTCTTTTACAAGCTTTCACACGTGGGTGTATTTCATTGGATTTTGTAATGACGTGGCAGCTTTCGAAGAGTAGACGTGAAGATGACGGAAGTGCCAGCTTAGTGAGTGAGCGTATTTTCTTCTCCAACAACTATTTCGTTGAGTGGACTGAAATTGACAAGTGCGTAGGAGTTAAAGACATTTTTATTCTTGCGGTTCGGCAGCAAGAGTAATTTTGCTGATTTGCATCTAACACATAACCTCCTCATGCTTTTTTCTATTTATATAATAAGGATTTAAATGGTAACTGCAGAATTTTTGCTGAATTTGCAGAATTTGCTGAATTACTGTTGATTTCTTGCAGAATTTGRTGAATAATATRAAACTTAAATGGTAACAGGAGAATTTTTGCTTTATTTGCTGAAGTTGCAGAATTTTTTTTAAAAAGTAATTAATGTTGAAAAAATAATTAATTTTAAAAAAGTAATTATTTTTTTTCAAACTTAAATGGTAATAATAATTGATCAATCACAAAAAATTACAAAATACTAGTACTTATACTATATTAAAAAAAGTTAAAAAGTACTTAGTATTCTCAAAGCATCTTACATTTTGAAAGAAAAAAAACTGAACCCGAATATCCGAACCCAGTAGTTCATTAATGAAATGCATCCCATATTTGTTGTTTTATTCTCTCTCGTATTATCTGCATACGAGTTCCTGCTGTTGTTCTCTCTTGATTATGTAGAAAGTCTTCTTCTGCACTTTCTCCACTTTCTCCATTGTTATTAATATGTTCTCGCGGGATTGCAGTAGTATGCAAAGCATCATCAAAATCAATGTCTGGAATTTGAGACAGGCGAATGAAGTTATGCAGTCCAGCTGTGGCTATGATTATTTTGTTTTGTG